AGTCTGATCATGGTGAATGTAGTTTTTACTCCAGAAACTTAGACGTAACAATAATTGTAGTCTGATCATGGTGAATGTAGTTTTTACTCCAGAAACTTAGACGTAACAATAATTGTAGTCTGATCATGGTGAATGTAGTTTTTACTCCAGAAACTTAGATGTAACAATAATTGTAGTCTGATCATGGTGAATGTAGTTTTCATTCCAGGAGCTCTGAAGTAGAAAAAGGAGTTTACACTATTTATTGAACTGTTGCAGCCTCTGTGTTATCAGTGACGAACAATATGTATTTATCAGAATACAAACTCTGTGTTATCAGTGACGAACAATTTGTATTTATCAGAATACAAATATTATTTGAAATTTTTTTATTGACATTCACTAATACTTGAAACAGACAATTTCGTAATTTCAGTAACTTATCATTCTGGGTTTGTATAACTAACGATCTGATAACCAGGGTAATGAAGAAAACTTTATTATAAGTTTAAAACAGTAACAAATGTACAACGTTTCGACAAGTTTGTCATCATCAGGTACATGTAGCTTACGTAGACACAGGAATATATATATCTATAGTATGGAACAAAGATGTCACATGATCGGAGATTGTAAAGGTATCTTGGAACCCCGGGATGTGCGTTTAGAGTCGGGTTGTTTTGTTGAACTAAGATTGTCCTTGAATTCTTAATTAGCTACAGATTACGAACATAATAATAATGTATATTTCTAATAATATACAATTAGTTTACTTGATGAAGTTAAAATAACCCATTCTCGACTCCATTTGATCAAAACAAGTATTCTCTAACTTCATCAATAGTATCCTACTGATTTTAAAGTCCTACGTATTAATACTCATTCACTTACAGTATTCTTACAGAGAAAATGGACCACTTGGTGATATACACGGATTTCCGCTAAACAAAAAAGTTTATTAGCTCAAAAACGTTTTCATCTGTTTGTTCGCATTTATGTGACGTATTTTATTATTATAGTTGTGGAACATAGTTTGATCTTTGTGTGACAACATTTCCGTTGATTAAGTATACAATGGATAACCTTGTTTTACGTCTACGTGGAAAAATCCGAAAGAAATGTAAAAATATGATTCTATGAGAATGGAAATGGAAGAGCCATTCTGTACAAAATGAACACAGAATTAAAAAATAAGCTATTTTGTAATCTCTTGATTTATATCAAAAATCATTTTCAGTAAAATTTAGTGCCTTAACGGGAACTGCTTAACACTATCGTTATAACCAAAATTATTACTTTTTAAATGCAAAGAGTAGGTCATGATTTATACAGAAAATATGATGCTATTACCCACCATAAAAAGTATTTTTTTTAACTAATGCCATAGCTATGTATGTCCCTGGTGTCTCAGCGGCAAGGCATTATAACGCTGAAATTCAGATTTCAATACCCGCGGTGGCAAAAGCACAGATAGCCCATTGCGTAGCTTTTTGCTTGACGACAAACAAAGTTACGTACACAATTCAAAAATTTGTTGAACATGCGCAGTGTTAACTAATGAATAACACGTGAATGTAATAAGTAGATGCTAAAATTAAGAAAGTTCTAGCTGTAGTGCATTATTTAAATATTTACCTCAAATGTACGAAATGATGAGAGGAAACCGAGAAGCGTTCGTGAACAACCTGGAAATGGTGTTCGATTTGGTACCGAAACAATTTTTATAGTGCAGAACAAAATCATGTATCTCAAGTTTCTTATTATTATTTATTAACTTCATTACATCATGGTTTAATCTAAACAAATACATTGAAGCTGTGGTTCGTAACCAGACGTTTTTCCTTTGTTATTCTCATGGTTTGTTGGAACCAGACGTTTTTCGTTTTTATTTTCATGGTTTGTTGAAACCAGACGTTTTTCCTTTGTTATTCTCGTGGTTTGTAACCAGACATTTTCCTTTGTTATTCTTGTGGTTTGTAACCAGAAATTTTCCTTTGTTATTCTCATGGTTTGTTGAAACCAGACGTTTTTCCTTTGTTATTCTCATGGTTTGTTGAAACCAGACATTTTCCTTTGTTATTCTCATGGTTTGTTGAAACCAGACGTTTTTCCTTTGTTATTCTCATGGTTTGTAACCAGACATTTTCCTTTGTTATTCTTGTGGTTTGTAACCAGACATTTTCCTTTGTTATTCTCATGGTTTGTTGAAACCAGACGTTTTTCCTTTGTTATTCTCATGGTTTGTTGAAACCAGACGTTTTTCGTTTTTATTTTCATTGTTGCAAACTGTTACATATGATCGACAGATAAAACAAAGTATTTATTATTAAAAAATCTACAGATGAGTTACAGTAAACACATTTACTGGTACGTACATCTCAGTAAACGCACCCACTGGTACGTATATCTCAGTAAACACACCTACTGGTACGTATATCTCAGTAAACACACCCACTGGTACGTATATCTCAGTAAACACACCTACTGGTACGTATATCTCAGTAAACACACCCACTGGTACGTATATCTCAGTAAACACACCTACTGGTACGTATATCTCAGTAAACACACC